TGTAAAATTCTTCCCAATCTTTGAGACTTGGCTTAATCATTACTACTTCCATGAAGCCCTGCCTGACACTCCCCAAGTAGATAAATTCTCCCTCTTCAGAGTATTTTGCTCACAGTGACTACTTTTAACAGAAACATTCCCTTACTTTTACTAGGACTTTGTTCCCTAATTATTCCAGCTGGAGCCTCGAGTCCAAACGACAGAGGAATGTGAGATCGTGGTCCCTGGGTTCTCTGCAGATGAGGACAAAATATGAAAAATCATGGCCACTACATTTCACTTTTTCATAAAATACCAGTAAGTTTTCTATTATACAAACTCTTGGTATTGTCACTTTCTTCCAATGTTGCAATTACTTACTGCTCACTAAGGTCATTAATGCCTTTATTGTAAAATCCAATGAATACTGTCCTGTTTTTAGCTTTTTAATGTTCCCTGTGACTTTTCTTTCATATATCCAGTTATTTGTTAAATATTTAACGAGATCAGATATTGCACTAGATGCTGTTAATGCAATGGTGAGCAAAACAAACATAGGTCCCATCATATGATAACACTAGAAAGACCACCAATCAAGCAACCTTAAAAAAGTGTAGTAAATGCTGCATTAGAGGAATCATAGGGCACATAATCTGATTCAGAGACTTAAAACCTAGTCTGATCCAAAAGAAGTGATGTTAAAGTGAAATATGGAGAGTTAGGAGATGAAGGAAGCCTAGTTCAGCAGAGGGAACATGAAGGACTGGAGGCAAGAAAAAACACACATTGGAGGAATTTAAAGATGTTCCTTAAGCCTGGGTCACAAATGGGGAAAAAAGGGCAGGAGAACTAAGGAAGGACCGTTTCATTTCATAAAGTGCTTTTAAACTGTGATAAGAGTCTGGGTTAAAGGCAATGAAAAACCCTGGAAAGATTGTGAAGAGCAGAAGGACAAGAGAAAGCTCATTCTTGCTGCAATTTAGGAAAAACATTTCTACAATGTCCATTATTTTTTATTCTAGGTTTTAAGTGATTTTCACTGTTGCCTCATTCTAAATAATGTAAAAGGAGCTAAATTAAAAGAAAATATTTGATTTGGGTGAAAATATCTCCCCCTGCATCACAGATAAATTATATGTAAAACAGAAGTTATTCTTGCAATTTCTTGACTCCTGATTAACATCAGAAAATAGATAAGGTTTAACAATAGACTAGTAGGTAATTGTATCTTCCTTTTATTTGAAACCAGTCAGCTCTAAATTATTCATGCTATCTGAAGAACAGATAAATATATATACATAACCTAAAATGATCAATAATCCAGATAGTTTCTATTTCACTTTGCAATGTGTCTTTATCTTCATTTAAACACGAGTATCTCTGAAATCTAGGAATTTACTTAAAGCCACACCAGATTGCTGGAGGGGAGGTGGGTGAGGGGATGGGGTAACCAAGTGATGGGCATTAAGGAAGGCACCTGATGTAATGAGCACTGGGTGTTATATGCAACTGATTAATAACTGAACTCTATCTACATCTGAAACGAATGATACACTGTATGTTAATTGAATTTAAATAACATTTAAAAAAGGAGCCACACCACAAAAAATGGCCAATCCATAATACCTAATTTTGTGATCCATCCTAAATTGGGAATTGAAAGCATGTTTTAGGCTGATGTCAGAAGTTAAGAAAGTGGTTTATACCTTTTTCTTTACACTTTCATATTTTTTGACTTTTTTTTTTTAAACGGCAGACATTTTTCTAATTAATCTTATACTATTGTCACAAGATTATTTTTCTGGTAATAAAAACATTTCTGTATGGAAAACAGAGAGATATCCTCTTTCACATCTTCCTTGAGAAGGTCGGGTTAAATAATTGATTTTAGAGAGCTTCTCTGAGATACAAAATTCATTTTAAAAAAAACACTAATAAAAAGAACCAGAAAGTAACAGGACATGAACAAAGCAGGGTAGAAGTGCTATCATTTAGGTTTGCAATATGGATAATTTTAATAATGACTATTTTCTAAGATATTTGAATGACTATTTTCTAAATGAACACAATTTTAGCAACCAATGGGGAATAAAACAGCAATGTTACAGAATTTTAAGACCTTTTTTGATAGAGATCATTGATTAGATTTAGTTTTGAACAACATAAGTCAAGGAATGAAAAGTGCTTTTACAATCAAAACTAACTGGGGCACCTGGCTGGCTCAGTCAGTGGAGTGTGCAACTCTTGACCTCAGGTTGTGAGTTCGAGCCCCATGCTGGGTGTAGAGATTACTTTATTTTTTAAAGATTTTATTTATTTGAGAGAGAGAAAGCAGGAGCAGGGAGAGAGGCAGAGGGAGAGGGAAGAGACTCCGTGCCAAGCAGGGAGCCCGATGTGGGGCTCGATCCCAGGACCCCATGATCATGACCTGAGCCGAAGGCAGATGCTTAAGCGACTGAGCCACCCAGATATCCCTAGAGATTACTTAAAAAAAAAAAAAAATTAAAACACAGCTAATATGCTGAATATATATTTACTTGAAATACTGTTTTTAAAAATCATATGAAGGTAAAGGCAGGATCTTATTATTCTGAAAATTAAGGAATCAGGATAAATTCGTTTTTACATACTCAATAGCTTATATAGATTTGTTCCTAATAACTGTTTAGGACTTTACAACATACTATGTGTGGTGTGAAGAATTTATAATGTGATGATGCTTTTGGTTAATAGAATACCTCAGTTTTCGGTTCTTTAAAAAAAACCTCAAAACATTCTGATTTTGTTGTTTAAAAAATTGTTTTCATTTTAATGATCTGAGTTAGTAACAAACAAATATACAAAATTGTCTTTCACATTTCCATACATTGTATTATGGACCACTTAAAACTCTGGGCTACAAATGCAGGTTTCTTTGTATCCTTAACTTCAATTATTGTCACTTATAAATAAAGGTGATTTTCGAAAACATGCATTTGTGAACATAGATGCCAGAAGTTGTACATGTAAGTTAATGTACAACCAATAGTGTACATTGTTCATTTGTGCAGTTATGTGTCAAATGCAATTGACACAGGTAGAAGCAGTTATCCTGGGACAGTTTACTCTATCTGAAAAGCATTTTTGAGAAGATGGAACTACAGTTTAAAACAAAAATTGTATTCTACAAATACAGTAAAATTCACAACTTGCACATCTGAAGCAACTTTTGGGACCCAAAGCTGATTCAATAACCTTGCTGCTATATTGGTTTTATGGGTATATTTCCAAAATCATAGACTGGAAAAAAGCTGTTTTAACAAAAATAAATATATATATTAAAAGGGAAGTGAGACTTTAAAAAATGTGAGGAAAGCTCTGAAAAGAGTAATAAGGTATTATTTTCACTTTTAAAAGTTTTAGAAATTTAAAGAAATTTAGAAACTTAAAGGTAATCTGAACATTTTCTAAGCTGTTTTAGGATTTTTCCATCCCACCAATGTTCTCTATTTGATAGTATAATAGAAGTATGGACGGTTTCTATTGTTGACTTACCATGATAATTCGTAAGTCATGATAAATTTGTGACTTCATTAGAGGATCAAATAAGTGGAAAATGGGTTATCATGAAAATGGGAACAAGGAAGCCCGTTCTATAACCCCTAATCTGAACTACAAATAAACACCAACACAAAATGATTTTTTATATTAAATTATTTCCAGGTGTCTGTAGGGAGGAAAATCCAATCTTCCTTAAAAATGTTTTCCTGGGTGGTGGCAATATGTGCTTTACCTCTTTAACTCTATCTACAACCTAAAATTATTTCTATATTATAAATTTCAAACTCCCTGGCAAGGAATGTGAATGCTAACCAGCTAGGTATTTATTCAACTTCATACAAAGAAAGGACTCATGAATGGACATCATAATAAGAGTCCCACTTTTTGCTAAGGCCCAAGTTTGATGTCCTTGCCTATAATATATGATCAAATGAGAGAAGATGGTGCAAAACAACTGGGTCTCCTTCAGGCAGTTATCAAAGACTTGGCCTCTGATATTATGAAAACACTTGTTCTAAATGAATGCAATTACCAACATTTTGAGGGGCAACTGAAGTTGAAAAGGAAATGGGTTATTTTCTATAGGAAACATAAGATCAACTTTAAGAAAATGTCCCTGTTTTCCATGGGCCTTACGAAGGAGATGTGGCTAGTGATTTCAAACATGTACTTCAAGTGTTACCTAAATGCATGACAGCTCTTAAAAATGTTTAACCATCAATGATTCAGAAAAGTAAACTGGGGGGAGTAAAGACATGTACGTATAACACTACATTAGGAGATGTAGTTATCTACTCTGCACTTCGTAAATGAAAGAAACCAATTCTGTCCAGAATCAATATCAGAAAGAAATATGGCTGCTTCCTACTCTTCTTCACTTAGCAAAATCAAGTTTATGATGCTCTCACTGCTGAGAAGTCTCATTTGAGTTAGGCAAAATGAATCTAATAGGTTACTTTTGTTTTCAAAATAAACTGTTTAAACTGGTCTTTTTAAAAAAAGCTTTCAGAAATGGAATATTTAACCACTGAGAGAAACTTCTATTAGTACCTTGTCTAATGGCAGGTACAATGATTGTTTGATTAAGGATTATTGCTTTTAATAAGATAACCATCAGAAATAAATATGTAAGCTTAACTCAAATACTCATTTTCTACTCAATGCTACAATGTTTCATTCTCAAATCAAGTCACATGTTATCTTTAATTTTTTGCCAGTTTACCAAGGTTTTAAGTATAAGAAGTTGGCCTGTTAACTCAAAATCAAGACAACAGCAATGTCCACATAAGCACGTCTTATTTGGGCATTGAGCAGGAACACTGCTTTCTTGATAGGACTTAAGGCACTAAATGGTGGTAAAATAAACAAAAAGTATGATGATTAACAACTTCTTTAGAATCCTAAAAAAGGAGATCGTTTAGAAGGACACTAGTAAATCTTTTTCTCAAACAAATAAGGCATCCTGTTGGCAAACACAAATAAAACAAAAGGTCATGTTGAACCTAATACATTCACTGTCTCAGCTAAACTACTTGAAACACTAGCTATCAAACTAAAGAAAGCTACAACAGCATGTATAAAAGTTGGAAAGGCACCAAAAGGAGAGTTCTACCACTTCCAGTTCTAAGAGTTAGGTAAGCTGTGTTTAACACTGCATGTCGCCTATTTATAAATTTTATTCTTCCAAATGTATAATGGTGGTTAATTTTGATTTTCACAAATTGGTTAATCAAGTACTAGTAAGGAGTCGATTTTCATGAATTAGAAAATGACTGCAGTGTCTAACACAACTCCACTTATAAAGCTACACTAATTCTAGTACTGAATGCATATTCTGGATAACACTGAAGCAAATCCATATAAACAAAAATGGTTACCTCAAGATAGAATTCACAATAGAAATTCAATATATAACTAAATAAGATTTACTGAAAATAATGAAAAGTGTAGTACAGATACATCAAACATAATTATAACCACATTTTCCTTGTGAAAAATACAACTATTAGTGAAATAAAATGTACAATTGAAAATTTTTCCAAAGGAAAAAACAGTATAAAGGAAAATACTTTTCTTTGAGATAGGGAAAATAGTATGTCATTGTTTTTTTCATTACAATATAATTTGACACAAAAAGCAGTCCTAGAATTGCACCAATTCCACATCCAGTTTCCTGAACATGTTAAGAGTAAAAGGAGTTCGTAAAGCAGAATGCAGTTTCTGAATTTCATATTTTAAATTGAGGATATTCTCATACAAAATGTCACATCACACCAGATCTGTTTACATAATGTACAATACTTTCCATTTTGTGGCCAGACACGAATATAAACATAGGCGTTTGGTGCCACCTCTCTTTCGTTCTGGTGTTTAGTCAGAGTCAGGAAAAAAATAATCAAGTTACTGAAGTGTTATCTCTCAAGCAATAAAGAAAAATTATATTTAGTGCATGCTTCATCATTTTGTCAAAAAAATTTCTGAAAATAAAACTGTTACCCAATGGTTTACAAAATAGAAAAATCATTCATTAGGATAAAAATGTGGTGGATTTTAGGTCCATTTCCAAAGGACTGACTTCCTGGGCAGCACGACTGTCCTTCAGCAGAGGTCATCAGTAAGTTCTATGAGCAAAGCAGGTGTGCCTGCAGGAGACCACTGCTTCACATTCACTTATCTGAGGCCCTACACCTGCTTTGGCCCTCCATCTCTGCCAGTTCATTAGTGCTATAACACAGACGGAACTTTTGTGGAAATGTTAGGAACATTTCTGCTGTACATGATTTAGAAGTTCTCCGAATTTTTCAAATAGGTCTTCCACCCATTTTACATTTTTCATACAGAGTTGAACAATTTCTTCCTGTCCTAAGTCTTCATTTCTTTTTTGCACAGAAGAAATCTAAAATAAAGAGAATGACCACATTAGCTTATACTTATCACTTTATGAGCTCTTCATAAGGGTTTACAGTTTCTGTATCTTGAATGAAAAGGATTTTATGAATACACCTACAAATACTGATTTAAAGAAAAAATTCCATCCGTGGAGAATGATTATTTCGTATAAATTTGGGTGAAGTCTAATCCTATCATTTTTAGCTCCATGAGGGCAAAGAGGAAGGCTAGAAAAAAAAAATGGTTCAAACTTCTGAATTCCTTCCTGTGTTAAAAGCTAAGTGACAAATTTTGGGGTGAATTCTATAATTCAGAGCAATGTGAAAATAGTCATCATATTTTGCATGACAATCTTTATTTTCTCCTTTGCTAGGTTAGATTTATGAACATCTTTCCACCGATTATCACCAAATACATCAAGTGTAGCCTCAATCCAACTTAACTCTTAAACAGCTGGTAGTGCTGATAAAAAAGTCCAGTCCACAGCCATTTAAGCTTTGAGGAACTTGATCATTCTATCCCACTGACGGGGCACCTGGGTGGCTCAGTCGTTAAGCGTCTGTCTTCGGCTCAGGTCATGATCCCAGGGTCCTGGGATCGAGCCCAACATCAGGCTCCCTGCTCGGCGGGAAGCCTGCTTCTCCCTCTCCCTCCCCCCTGCTTGTGTTCCCTCTCTCACAGTCTCTCTGACAAATAAATAAAATCTATCCCACCCACAAAGTGGTATTATTGTCATATATAACTTCTGAGCAACTTTAAATTATGATACGTAAAAGTTACAATTAAATTTTAACTATCATTTCTTCCTGACCATGCACAAAAACCCCTTTCTCAGCAATTAAGTGGGAGAAGGCCATTTTAGTGATAAGGAAGACAGCAGGATATCAAAGCAGTGACTGAAGTGAATTAAAGCAGATCATGATGGATTATGAATGAAGAAAATGAAATCAAGTACCATTTATTATGGCAATGTAAAGCAAGCATAACAGCTTAAAAACATTACCACTTACAGCTCTGGAAGAGCCTCAGATTAATATGAGCACAACACATAACAGACTCAGAATAACATTATTTACAAGACAATATAGACACATGTATTTTTTAACAATTCTCTTTAAGACATTAAAAAATACTATAGCTATAGTCTCCTTAAAGTTCAGAAAAACATTTCTTTTTTAAATAAATGAAAAAAATTACCTCATCTTTACATATCAGATAAACATGATATTTATAATGATGGAGTGAATGATACAAAGAATACAGCTGTATTTTCTCTGGATCAACAGCAAACTCCTATAAAAAGAAGAGTTTATAGTCATATTTATTTCATGGAATATTTGAACTGTGAATACTTTTACAAAAATACTAGACCAAAAGTCTTAATGGAAATCTTAAAAATAAATGACTAATATGGCTAGATATAGGCTTAAATATGGACAAGAGGCTTATTCAAAATAAGAATTTAAATTGTAGGGGCGCCTGCGTGGCTCAGTTGTTGAGTGTCTGTCTGCCTTCGGCTCAAGTCATGATCCCGGGGTCCTGGGACTGAGCCCCGCATCGGGCTCCCTGCTCAGCGGGAAGCCTGCTTCTCCCTCTCCCACTCCCCCTGCTGTGTTCCTTCTCTTTGTCTCTGTCAAATAAAATCTTTTTTTAAAAAAAGAATTTAAATTGTATTTTAGAATCTTCACTCTTTTCTGAATATAAACACACAATATTTCAAAAAATTTAAACATAGAAAAATTTAAACAGTAAACATGTAAGATGACTTATAAAGTAAAAGAATCCTATAATCTCTTGCTTCAGAGATAAACAAGGTTAAAAGCATGGTATATATTCTTCCATATTTTTCCATATATAACATGTATTAATGACACGAATTCTGTAATGGGAAGGCAATCCTACTACACATATTGTTCTGCAACTTTATTTTTATAACTTGTTTTTAACCTAACTAAACCTTGCATCTTTCTATTTATTACATATAACCCCCCCCCTGCTAAAAATTACATTAGGGCAGGGCATTCTGACCATTTTTCAGTTGTATTCCTAGTGCTTAGAACTGTATTCAGCACACAATAGGCACTCAAAACATTTTACTGAAAGAATGAATGAGTCTCTTTTTAAAAATTACATAGTATTACATTATCTGGATGGCTCTTTATTTATCCACTTTGCCACTGGTGATGCATAACTGGATTGCTCTTATAATTAGGCAATGTGCAAAAGCATACATTTTTATGCATTTGTGAATGTGTTTCTACAAAATATATTTTTGATGTGAAATTGATGTTGCTAAACTGATTTCTAAAAAGGCAGTAATTTAGACTATGTTTGAAAATGAGTGAATTCCAATTTCAATAATTTTGCAGATATGGAATATTGAATCTTATGGAACATGTGCATACTTACCTATATGCATTTGTATCTAATGACAAAAAAAATATACAGAAAATATAAATACAGGCATCAGGTAATTCCTTGCCTATTCATCTATTTTAAAAATCTGCAAGCACTGGGTGCTTGGGTGTCTCAGTCAGTTAAGCATCTGCTTTTGGCTCAGGTCATGACCCCAGGGTCCTGGGATGGAGCCCCACATCCAGCTTGCTGCTCAGCAGGGAGTCTGCTTTTCCCTCTGCCTCTCCTCCCACTCATTCTTTCAGTCTCTCTCTCAAATAAAATAAATAAAATCTTAAAAAAAAACCCCAAAAAACCCCAAAACTGCAGGCACTAACTACATGCAGATACTGTGCTGGGCAATGGAGAAAAACAAAATAAGACCGAGTATCTGTTCTTTGAGCTGGAGCTGCTCATTCCTATCTGAAAAGACTTCACAGTTAATAACAATACAGTAAAGTATTTGCTCATTTCAATATTTTAAAGAGGAATTATATTAACTGGAAAAGGTGTAATTATATCAAACCATATATACTTACTTGTGCAGATTTGGTGGTTGTTTTAGAAGTCCTTAGAGTTTTCTTATTATAAGTTTTGCCATTCATTTTGATTTTAGAAATAGTAGAACCCCCACTTTTTGCTTTGGAGTCTCGAGTAATTATTGTTAGTTCGGGAAAGCTTTCCAAAGCATTCTTTAAAATAAAGCAAAAATAACTGACATCAGAAGAAAACTAATCCAAACTACTTCCAGCTATTTGAAAAATACAGAAATATATACATACATTTATGTATAGTACACACATATATAGATGGGGTATGGTAAATATATACAATATAGAAATACAGGTGGGTATTAAACAGAGCCACAAAATCTTTGTAGCTCCTCCATCACGATGTGGAATCTACTTCCTCATCCCTTGAATCTGGGTGAACCTTTCCTTATGACCTGTTTTATGCCAATAGCACATGGCACTATAGGGACTCCTTAACAAGCCAGAGAGTTCTAGAAATGCCTCTCTGTGGCTTCAAAGTAGGAGAAAGAGGGGACACAGGTTTCTTCAAAGCTCTACCAATTCAACCACTGTCAACACCCTGACTCTTGGCCAAGCCCTGCTATAAAGAACGCATCTGATTAGATGAATGGGATCTCTCCCTGATGAGAACAGTGAAAACAAGTAGCATTATAATACTTCTCTGGCTTCACCACCTCTCTGCATCGTTTGACCTCAGTTGTATGAATTCATGAGTCTAAAATAGACCTTGATGCATTTTCTGGCCACAATGACACAGTAGTTACTCACTGATAACTTAGTAGCCATGTGGCCAAACCAATTCTAGGCCACTCATTAAAAGTCACTGGCATATACATCAAAAACTAATGATGTGATGTATGGTGATTAACGTAACAGTAAAAAATTAAAAAAAAAAAGTCACTGGCATATTTTGCCCTTATCTACTTGGCAAATCATTTGGACATGAAAAACTACAAATAATAACTGAATGATATTTGTAGCTAAATTTAACTAGTTTAAGTACTGTTTTAAGGGGCACCCGGCTGACTCAGTTGGCCATGGAGATTACTTAAAAAAAAAAAAAAAGTTGTTTTAGAAGATTAAGCTGAGTTAACACAATCATTTATTATTTTGACACTAAAAGGGTTCAAGTGCTCCCATCATATTTATTATTCAGAACGGAGTTCCCATTTGATAAGCTACACTGTTTTATAAACAGTTACAACCTTTAGGGCCAACTCTCTTCCAGACTCTTGAGTTCTCAAGCACTTTTCGTGTTAAGATGCTAGCTAAAGATGTTGGAAGCACATGGATTTCAGAGGAAAACAGAACATGATTAACTTCAAAAGGCTTTAGGATTCCCAAAATTACTGAGATCATCATGTTAATGGTGTTAATTATTTCTAATGAATAGAATATCTTTTAATCTTTTATAATTTACTATTTGTAGTATTTTACTATTTTAAAATCATACAGCAATACTGTGCATGTATTTTGGCTTTGAAATGCAAGTTGCTAAAATGAAAATAATAAAAATAATTTCAAAATTAGAAATTTTGTGGTTTTTTTCTTTGAAAGAATATGAAAACTAATTTTTCAGTTGTTCATCATAAACTACTGCATAAGCCTTAAATACCTACTGAATCTATTAAATTCCAAGTGGTAGCTTTATTTTAATACAAGTTATTAGAGAACTGGTTTAACATTTCTAAATGGCTAGCCAATGGGTGGCCTGGCTGGCTTAGTTAGTGGAGCATGTGACTCTTGATCTTGGGGGTGTAAATTTGAGCCCCACATTGGGTGTAGAGATTACTTAAAAGAATAAAATCTTTCAAAATAAAATGGGTAGCCCAAACTGGTCATTTTAAAGATTTAGTAAATTTTTAGAAAACACATATAACAGCATTCTCTTCTCTGCAGGAAATATGGCATTTTCCAAATTTCATTTGATGACAGCAGTTAAGCAGAAAATACTAGACTAGAAGTCAGTAGACCAGATTCTAAGTACTAAGTTTCATACTACCTTTTGACTTTTTTTTCTTTGCAAGTGCATGTCAGTGAAGAATATAGGACTATTAGTAGTTTGGTGTCATTTAAATTTGATTTTTTTTTTTTTAAAAGAAAACTCTGCACCCAGTGCAGGGCTCAAACTTACACCCCCAGATCAAGAGTCACATGCTCTGTTGACTGAGCGAGCCAGGCACCTCTCGTGAGATTTAATTTTGAACTCATTCTCAGAGCTTTAATTTTCACCTAGCTAAAATGAAGTCAGCTTTCACTTTTATGTGGAGTTTAGATAAAACAGGGATGTGAAAAAGCTATACAAATTACCCGAATGAGTTGAAAACTTATATCCACACAAAAACCTGCACACAAATGTTTACATAGTAGCTTTATTGATAACTGCCAAGATAAGGAAGCAACCAGGATGTCCTTCAGTACATGAATAGATAAACTGTGGTATATTCAGACAATGGAATATTATTCACTGGTAAAAAGAAATGAACTGTCAAGGCATAAAAAGACATGTTAGAAAAAAAAATCTTTTTTTTTTTAAACAAGTGATTTTTTAGATCTTTATTTTTTATTTTTAAAAAGCAAGCTCTATGCCCAATGTGGGGCTTGAACTCACAATCCTGAGATCAAGAGTCATATGCTCTACTGACTGAGTCAGCCAGGTGCCCCAGAACCTTAAATTCTTATTAGTATTTGAAAGAAGCCAATCTGAAAAGGTTACATATGATATGGTTTTCAACTATGGGACATTCTGGAAAAGGGAAATCTATAGAGGACGGTAAGAAGATCAGTGGTTGCCAGAGGTTAGGTGGGAAAGGAGGGAAGGATAAACAGAGCACAGAGTATTTTCAGGGCAATGAAACTACTCTGTATGACACCTTAATAGTAGGTAACATGTCATTACACTTTTCTTCTTCAAAGCAACAGAATGTACACCACCATGAGTGAGCCATGCAAACTATGGACTTCAGGTTAGAAGGATGAGTCAATGTAGGTTCAACAATTAGGACAAATGTACCACTCTGGTGGGACATGCTGATGATGGGGGAAGTTGTTCATGTGTGGTAGATGGGAACTCTCTGTACTTTCTGCTCAATTTTGCTGTAAACCTAAAACTGCTATAAAGTCTCTTGATAAAAATAAAAAGCTATACAAATGCATAAAAAAACTTCTCCCAAGGTAGATATGATCAAATGATTCTAAATGTTGTATGTTATACTTTCAATAAGAAAAGCTGGAAATTTTTGACTACGAAGTAGCTTCTATGATAAATCTTGTGTTTAGATTAGCTTTTTGTTGTTCTATATTTCTGATAACACCAAAACCAACTTAAGAGTTCCAAGCTGTATTAACAGATATAACTATATATATCTGCCATTATGTTAGGATCAGTTCTTCCTCAGATACTGAGTAAATCAGGCATGTAAGGGAATTTTGATAACTATGCTAAGAAAAGGCCAATTCTAATTATAGATGAAATATGAAAATTTTGAAAAGGTTTAAAAGAAAAATGACTGAAATTTGGTAGTTTAAAGGCAGTACTTTTGAAAACATCTGGGAATTATGTAGAAGGAATTCTAGATGCATATAAAAGTCTAAAAAATGAATTTAAGCAGTGAAAAGCAAATGATTAACACTAAGAATGGGCTTAATAAAATAAAAAGACAAGCTGAACAGACTCATAATAAAAATCAAATTTTCATTGGGTGAAAAATTGTATAAAACGGAGAATGACTTTCATAAATTTCCTGCCTATTATGCTTAAGACTATGATTGCCAGTGAGTTTGCTAATAAATCATCTGAAGGAAATACCTTGAATGACTGATCCAAATGAAGATTCAAAAGAAGTCTCTTTCGGTTATCATTCAGCATGCTATCTATTTTTTTCATATGAGGCAAAAGTAGCTCGTCTAAAACAAGATAAAAATTTATTTTAACAGGATAAACTATCAACACAAAAACTTGTAAAAAATCCAACTTTTCCTCAAAGTTAAGACATTAAATTCATGGGTATATATAAATATTACTTTTAAAATACTGGACATGTAGCTTTCTGAACAAAAGCTAACTTGAAAAATAGGTCTGCAATAGCCAAGTGAGAAAAAAGCAGCATAGTAAAATGACAGGATCAGAAGTCCTGGGTTTTAACCTTGTCTCTGCCACTAGAACTGACTGATGACAGCTAAGTGACCAGTAAGCAAATTGCCTAATTTCTCTAGACCTCATTTATCATCCAAACAATAATCATATTACAAAATATAGATTTACCTGACATTATAAAATTCTGTAAATACCAGACACGATTTTTTTTTTAGCTTTTATTTATTTGACAGAGAGAGAGAGAAAACGAGTGCACAAGCAGGGGGAACAGCAGAGGGAGATGGAGAAGCAGACTCCCTGCTGAGCAGGGAGCCTGATGAGGGGCTCGATCCCAGGACCCTGGGATCATGACCTGAGACAAAGGAAGACACTTAACTGACTGAGCCACCCAGGCGCCCTCCCAAGTATGATATTCTTAATTTAACTGTAGTTTGGGCCAAAGAAAAAGTAAGGGAAGAAAAAATGATCAAAATCCAGTTTCAAAAACACAAGAGCCAAAGAGTTATTTCAGAAAAGGGGAGAGTAAAGTAGATAAAGATTTCTAACTAAAACTTTTCACTTTCTTTTTCTAAAGAAACTTTAGAAAAACTTTAAGCTCCTTTAAGAAAAGCACTTTCGGGGCGCCTGGGTGGCTTAGTCAAGCGTCTGCCTTCGGCTCAGGTCAAAATCCCAGAGTCCTGGGATCGAGCCCCGCATCAGGCTCTCTGCTCAGCGGGAAGCCTGCTTCTCCGTCTCCCACTCCCCCTGCTTGTGTTCCCTCTCTCGCTGTGTCTCTCTCTGTCAAATAAATAAAATCTTAAAAAAAAAGAAAAAAAAAAGAAAAGCACTTTCATCAGACTATTAATTACTTTTGGTGCTGTATTAAATATTTTAGGTTACTAGATTATTTATCAGCAAAATAATGTATTTCATAACACTAATCACCTTTAATAACCTTTCTGAAAATGTATATATAATCCTCAGAATCTGGCTACTAATTTCGCACCTGGATAAAATGATTCTTTATATTTGGAATACAAACATAAGCACAGTGACCAGCAAAAGAACACTTCTAATTGAAGAAAAAGTCCTTAGTGAGGAATGCGTTCTAAGGTCACTATACCACACCTTGATAGTTTTCTTTTACCTTTCTAGCAGTGATTAAATCATTTCAAAAACTGTAAGAATTTACATTTCACAAAACAACGTTTTAAACATTTGTGGATTATTTTTAAAATAGAACATTAATGTCCTTCTCCTTTATAGCAAATGGAGAAAAATCATAAAACAATGATAAGCAATAGAAAAGAAAAATCAATTAAAATACAACTACCCAGGAATGACCAGTACTAAGAGATGTGTATTCTATGATGCAAAGAGTTTTGATTGAGTGAAAAAAACATTTAATGGCAAAAATGCCAACCTGGGGAATTAACTATTGGGTTTTAATTATGGTTATTCTACCATTAACTTGTTCTATAACTCTATGAAATACATTTAATCTCTTTGAACCTTAGTCTACAAAATAAGTGTTTTAGACTAGGCAATCCCTAACGTCTCTTCCAGCTCTACATGATTCTAAACTGACTGATGTACAGATTACTGCCTCTCATTTTATGGTCAAAAAAATGATGGACCAGAAATTAGACCTTGGATTTTAATCCTTTCTTGGTTACTTGGAAATTGTGGGGTTTTTTTGTTTTTTTTTTTTTTAATTGTGGGCTCTTTTTTTTTTTTTTTTAAGATTTTTTTTATTTATTCATTTGAGAGAGAGAATGAGATAGAGAGCATGAGAGGGGAGAGGGTCAGAGGGAGAAGCAGACTCCCTGCTGAGCAGGGAGCCCGATGTGGGACTCGATCCTGGGACTCCAGGATCATGACCTGAGCCGAAGGCAGTCGCTTAACCAACTGAGCCACCCAGGCGCCCTAATTGTGGGCTCTTGAGCAAGTCACTTCTATGAGCCTCACTGTCTTCATCTACAAAATGGCTGTCTGAATTGTTTTGGGATTAAAACAGAACAATGTGTATTAAAGTATGTGGAAATAAAATATGTATTATAAGGCACTGCTATTTAAGTATATTGTTAGTGATTTTTCTTTGTTACTATCTTTTGATCATACATGCATACAATTCATTTTGATAGAAGGGTAATGGAAACTGGCTCATTAATCCTTCTGTTCCCTTTTTTCAGTTGTCCTTGGGAGAATGCCATAGTAGCCAAGGGGTAAATATTAGTGAGCAACATTAAATAAATGAATCACCAGTTTATTTCAGATATTAATTTCATCTTTTACTGTAAGAAAAAGTTATTAAAGGAAGAGTATAAAGGACTAATATTAATGAATATAACACAATGCATGCATTGTTTTACTATTAATTGATTAGAAAATAATTATTCTGTGATATATCTTTTACTAGACACAAATATATGATTTTAATCTTTATACCACTATTATCCAGTTCATCTTTCCAATTATCAGAAAGTAGAATATATTGACATCTGGACCTTGCGTGTAATACAGACACTTAGTGAAGACTTGTGGGTAGTTATGTAATTTTTCCATGTGTAGAAATCAATAAAAATACATTCAGTATAAAGTTGTTCAAGTATTGACAATTCATGAATTATAGGATTACTTTATAGAATAAATATCATGGATTTGTGAATTGACAATGTACAGATATCTATTATAAAATCCATATATTAAACACATAACTAACAGACAAGAATAAAGAAGATCCATGAAGTACTACCAAGAAAGTACTACTTAGCAGACTGTACCATTGCTCTTCTCTAAGGCTTGCATTGTGTCAGGGTCCAAAGCAATGCTAACAAGCAATTCCATGTAGCTCTTAAAGGTTTCCTTCATCGCTCTTGTGTTCAAAAAACGAGTGACAAAGGGAGCTGGAGGATCAAATTCTGGGAGAGTAAAAAGATGAAATATTAAATATCCTTCCTGATAACTTTAAAAACACTGTTATTTATAACAAGAACCTAGAAGCAGATAAAAGGTTGTAGGTAAAATTTCTTCAAATTCAAGTTTTGCCCATTTGGCTTTTAAAAACACCCTGGGTTAGAGATTCTCAAAGCTGGTTTGTACATCACAATCAGTAAAGAGCTTTTAAAACAAAACAAAACAAAGAACCCAGATTGCTGGACTTACTAAAACAGAACTTTTGGTGGGGGTAGGCGGGTAGGGGGTGGTAGTGGTAGTAATGAAGCTTAAATATTATACTTCTAAAGGTTCCCAGGTGACTCTGAAGCCCAATCTCAGCCCAGCATTTGTAAACGTCAGCGCCATAGGAAACTGTTTCTTTTCCCCTGGCCCCACCACAGACATCTGCCATCAGCTTGTGCTACTCCAGAACTCATGGTTTCCCTAGATTAAAGAAACCATAAGACATCTAACGTGTAAGTTAATATACAGTTATCTCTTCTTTTTTACTTCTACATTTAAATTATGCAAAATTCTGGTTTAGAGCCAAGGCTTATATGAAAAAAATTTTTTTTTTAAGATTTTATTTATTTGAGACAGCAAGAGAGGGAACACAAGCAGGGGGAGTGGGAGAGGGAGAAGCAGGCTTCCCGCTGGGCAGGGAGCCCGATGTGGGGCTTGATCCCAGGACCCTGGGATCATGACCTGAGCCGAAAGCAGACACTTAATGACTGAGCCACCCAGGTGCCCCGAAATTAAAAATATATATATAAAATAGCCCATGTAGAGAGAAAATTTCACTGAAATTCAATGGAAAAAAACTGCAAGATTAGAACTATCTCAATTTTTACTTTTTTCATTCAAGTACATAACTTGTAAAAAAAAAAAAAAAAAAAAAAACCACAGGTCCAAAATGGTGTCACCTTAGGTTAAGGCCCCAAGTCAGTACACCACCAAGACTTAATAACACCTAACTGTAGTTTCAAGCCCCCAGAAATGTAACCATTAACCAGTTAGCACTAGGAAATTTACTGATAGACCCCTTTCATTTCACCTTACGAGGGCCATCTTGCCTAAACAATGGATTCTTTGCTAATAATTTAATTTTTTCCACTCTCTACCTTTAAAAACCCTTCCTTTTCTGTAGCCTTTTTGAGGTCCCTCTCCTTGCTCAATGGGATGCTGCCTGATCCATGAATCGAATAATAAAGCCAATTAATCTTTAAAATTTACTCGGTTGCACTGGTTGTTATTAACAAACTATTACCATAGCCTGTAATAGCAGTTCTTAAAGTATGGTCCCAGGACCTTTTGGGGTTTCCCCCCAAGATCCTTCTTCTGACGTTAAAACTGTTTTCATAAAAGTGTTAAATGTTATATATCTTTTTCACTCTGTTCACATTTATAAAAATGATGGGTATAACTACTGGTGCCTTAGTTAGCATGAGTTGAGGCAGTGACACCAAACTGTACTAGTGGCCATATACTTTGCCATCTCACTGCCATGCATTTTAAGGGGGGGGAAAGCCAGTTTCACTTAAAAATAGTCCTGGGGGCGCCTGGCTGGCTCAATTTGATGGAGCATGCAACTCATGAGGTTGAGGTTGTGTGCTTTGACCCCCATGTTGGGCAGAGATTACTTAAAAAGAAATTAAAAAATTAAAAAAAAAGAATAGTCCTTGGTGAAGCAGTAAAAATTATTTGTATTAAATCTTTACTATTGAGTAAATGTGTTAACATTCTGTGTGATGAAATGAGAGGTACACAAGCACTTCTGTTATGAAGTATGATGGTTATCTCTCGGAAGAACATCTATGCAATTGTTTGAGTTACAAGATGAACTAGCCACTTTTCTCCCCATGGGACACCATTTTCTTTTAAAAGGATGATTGACACACACATTATGCCTATTCAGACTTGGGTATTTGGCAGACTTGGTATTCTTAAAAATTAATGAAGTGAACCTGCCATTCAACGAAAACAATTGACAGCATTTGCTGCCAATGATAAAATTTGAGGTTTCAAATGAAAATTAGAATTTTGGAAAATGTGTATCTACCACTATGAGCTTGACAACATCCCACTATTTAAGGAATTCACTGATGAGATCAGTGGTAGTATTAATAAGTGTTATTTATTTATTTTTTAAAGATCTTATTTATTTATTTGAGAGAGAGAGAATGAGAGAGAGAGAGAGCACATGAGAGGGGGGAGGGTCAGAGGGC